GTCACAGGTATTTAGATCGCTCCTTCCTGAATCCAAACCACTTCACACCTTGGAGGCCAAACACCTTGCCCCTGGGAGCAGTGTCTCCCTCGTTTCTAAAAAGGCTCGCTACTTCCCTCGGCCGACAGCCAGTTCAACACCAAACGCGTGCTCCTTGGAGAGACTGCTGCCTTTCCCCCACGCCCGAGAACCAAAGGTAAACTACGGGGTTATCTGCCTCCTCACACCCTTGCAGCTCCACATTCCAGAAAAGAAAAGGTCAGAGTAATTAAAACTGAACAGCTGAAGGAGATGAAACTCACCTGAGTATATAAGCTTCCTGCTTGTCAGTCTTTGTCACACTTATGATCAAACAGTGCACATTCTCCAGAAGTTTGTCCCACTCAAACCTAGAGAAACACAAAGTGATTAGCCCGTTACACACACAGGGGAGGGGAAAATATTCAAGTGGCTAAAGACATTAAAAATCAGCATCACTGTACCTCTCAGACTATATATTATCCACGATACATAGTTTATTTAGTTATATATAAGTTATATATATAAGCGATATAGAGTTACATCAGTTGTCCGCTTTAACATTCTTTATACTAATCTCTGCACAGCAATTATAATGAAAAAATAATGGCTACACTGGGTTACTGATCACCCATGTTTCTGCAGGCCTTGACACACAGCCCTGTGATTGTCATGTGTTAACGACACTCCAGAGGCAGGAAAGACGCGTGTAACTGCAGTCTAGACCTGCAACACTGCTGTGCAGCCCCTACACCAACACAGAAAGGCAGAGGGCAGTGTGCCTTGAAGGAAAAGCCCCACATCACTTCATAAAAATAAAATCAGGCAAGATGGACTTCATGCCAATAAAACATTCTGAATGGTCTGCTCTCAGCTCTCGCTGGTGTATTTATATCTTATCTAGGAGTACACGAGTGAACTGCAATCAATTAAATTTAACTCCTGCTGTGCAAGACGAACCCCAAGAGAAAGATACACACTTATCAAGGTTGATGTGTAAATACCAAATTGCAGATTTTCCCCCAAAAAAGTGGGAAAATGCTTAAAAACCTGGATTATCCTTTATTCCCTTAGAAACTGATTTCAGAGCAGCAATATCTATCCCACGAAGTGATTACCAAAATCGTGTTCAAGATCCACAGTGAGATTAATTTAAACTTTACACTTAACTAGATATTCTAGCACTTTGTTTGCTACACTTGTCTGTCAAGATGAAGCAAATGTGTCGAAAAACCTCAGTGTTTCACAAGCGGCCTGTTCCTCATTTTGGAGTTTGCTACCTGGAAACAAAACCCCACACTTGTACCATATTGTCTGCCAGGTGTTGGCCCACTCTCGAATTTGATCTACAGCTTTTTGATGTTCATTTGCTGCGCCTGCAGTGTTTGCCAACACGCCTCATTTGAGACCTGCAAAATAGATTGCTAAACTATTCCAGAATCTAGATCACTGATATAAATCAGGAATTGCAGATCCCTACGGTATCCCACTAATTACAATTAAAAATACAATGCTCTGCAGAGTTTTCTATTAACCAACATTCAAACCAAATGCAAGCATTTGCCAGACTTTCTACCACCCGTAATTCGAGATTTATCTTTTGAAGAACTTTATCAAATGCCTTCTCAAATGATCTATGATATCTTTTTGTAAGATATCTGCACATCCATTACAAATCACAATTTTCAGATGAGCAGATTCAAGATGGGAACTGCTGTTTAATGGGGCTATATGTAAAGATGTGTTAATATTTAAAGATAAAATCAGAACACTTAGATTAATATTTCACTGTTTACTTGAAAAACATCTCAGCGTATGTCAAGAGAAACAGACCCACTTTTATCATAATGACTGTGCTAGGTTTGTGCTATCAGTTAAGGACTGTGCAGCAAAGTGGAAGATTTTTTCCCCACCAGAAACACCACAGAAACTCTTAGATAAACAAGAACCTGACACATTGCAGCCTGTGAAGAAAGACTACATTTTTTGCAATGAGCCATAGTGCATTAACGATACAAATCCCAACAGGACTTTATCTGTTTTAATTTTTTAAAATGCTTTCCAGTGTAATAGCTGCCAACAGTAAAAAGATGCAGTAGGAAGTGTTAAAAACTTTAATAAAATTATTTTTTTAAATAAAATAAAATACCTTCTCTTTCATCCTGCATCTTGTTCTTTTAGAAGACAGACTGCAGCCAATGTTTTAAATATATAAGTTCTCAGTTTCGTAAGGCAGGACTCAAATCCCTTCATTAAGTGGGAAACCTAATTATTCTAAATTCCACAAACCTGTTTCAAACAAACAACCCAATGAGTCAACATACTGATGCTACAGTGAAGCTGAAAGAGTAAGGGGATTTAGGACACTTTTCAGATGAATCCTGCTCATCTGTGGTTAACGTATGAGACTTCCAAAGCAGAATAAAAGCAAAGAAACGTAAGCAGTGACGATGCTCTGTTCTATTGTTCAATACCACATCGCACAACCTTTCAAACTTGCGGCTCTGCATACAGATCCCAACAGCCTCCACGCACACAGACTGGCAAGCCAATGAAAATCTGCTCGATGAACAGAACTTACAAAGAGCATCAGGCAGACATTTTTCATTGAGCCAAAGACAGCTTAGTAACATGACAAAACCTGCAGGGTTCTGTTAATTTAGCAAAGCGCTAGGTGTGGAGAACTGGTGAACAGCTGAGAGCACGTCGCTTTGTCACACACTGAGAAGCGAGGAGGACCTTTCATCCCAAACCCAACAGAACAGTGGCAGATCAAACTATTTCACAAACTAGAACAGGTAAAACAAAGGTATATAATGTACTAAAAATGAAATTTCTACAGACAAACAATTCTGTTGTAAACATTCTAACACCACACTCCATTACTACTATGGTTAAATATATTTGCATTGCTCCAATTATTCACAGCAGTAATGCAAACAACACAGGGTAGAAATCCGTCCAAGGAAAATAACCAGCAGAGAACTTAGTACAAAAACACATTCACATCTGACCAAGGCCAGGCACTAAGCAGATCCATTAAATCTGATCCACTTGATCCAGTAAGGCTTGCAGTCTTCAGCACATCACCTAAGCTTAGTCAGAATGTGATATCTAGGAGCTCCGACTGGGGACAGAGAGACCCCCAAGTGCTGCTGCTGTTCGTGCTTGTAACCTGCTTTTGCATCAATTTGCACAGACATGGAAAACAGACATTTTCCAGGACTGGGGGCCCCACTTCCGCCAAAATTATATCATTAAAATGCAAAGGAAATGTCAAAGTTACCATTTGTTTTTCTTGTTTAACATTTATTCTCAACATCACAGGTTGCTAAAGCTTATGATGCCTTTTTTGGCATTTTAAAAGAATGGTGCTTGAACCATATGCTAGAACAGATTACTTCTGTTCCTTGACTTGGTTTCGGGCTCCTTCCTGCAGCTCTTGAGGTAACAGCCAAGGACTGAGTAAAACCATCTAGAGAAATACTATTCAGGATATTGAGAAATAACAGTTCAAAACCAACCCTATAATTACAATTATACACCAAATATAGCATACACCTAAACATATACAATACAATGAACCAGAGCATTACCTTTGGACAAATGTACACAAACTGTCCATTTCCTTACCCTACAGTGAGCTGCTTAGTACAGAACATCACTGGGGAGTTTTCCTGACCTGGGTTAGCAGGAGCACAGAAACGAGGCAGAGCAAAGTGCACTGCACTCACTCCCCGCTGCTCACCTCCAGAAGACATTCGCCACACTCCGTGGTCTGTACTATACACAGCCTGAACTTTCCAGAACCCATAAACATTACTACGGGACCTGTGGGAGGCCGATGTCAGGTCCAATTTGTGCGCCGAGTGTGGCATAACCAGAAAGCAAGACTGGGCTGGAATATTAATCAGACATTCAGAATCACTCGCACGCACTTTAAACCCACCAGATACACCTCAAGTTAAAGTGTAACACGCACACGGCAGCTGTATAATGCAGAAGGGATCAGGATCCGTCACAGCTCTGAAACCCATTCAGACGTCTCCACCTTCAGCCCACAACCATTACAGCAGGGAGCCTATTCAAGGGCAAACGCTCCATGAATCCAGCTTCGCCTCGTGAGCTTATTCAGACACTGGCTGCCTCCCAGCGCCCCTCTGGGCTGGTAACCGTAACTCCAGCACGGCAGTCTGCCCTGTTCCCCTCGCGCAAGGAGACGCCTGCAGAGCTCTCTCTCGGCAGGACCGGGCCGCCGGCACCGCGCAGGGCGCGGCGTCACGCCTCTCGAAACCCAGGAACAGGGGACCCCCCGCCAGCCGCGCGCTCGCGGGCGCGGAGGTCTGGCCGGGGAGCACAAGCCCGTCCCAGACACCGCCTGGATCTTCCGGTCTTTACTAAAACGACCAAACCCTCACCTGAACCACCTGGTCTTTAATCCTGCCCTGCACTCCCAACAGCTCGAGAAATCTACCCGACCAGTACTATCTACAGACATGTCACAATCTCTACTTCAGGATTCGTTTACAACTGCCTTCCAAAAAGCCATCTAAACTGACGCTTGAGTAACCCGGATTATAAAGATCCTTGCAGGTGTGCAGCCTTGTTCAAAGCTCACCATGAAGCAAACCCAAATGGGTGTCATTCTGTAACCCTTCGACTAGCACAGGGGGAGTGCTAATTTCTAGTCCCCTCTTATCATCCAAGAACTGCTTTTGCAAAAAAAGTAAACTAGGAAACAAATGTTTGCTTAAAAGCATAAAAACTAAAAGCATAATACGCTTAACCAAGAGAGCGCTCCTTTAGCCTCTGTGGCTCCAGGACCAGGATTGTGACACTACAATAGGAAACAGGCATCCTTAAATACAAAACACTTCTGGTTTCAAGTCCCCCACGTCTCTGGCATTTCAACATTGATTATGTCTACCGTGAAGAGGAACACGCACCCTATAGCACAGTCCCAACCGAAACAGACTTCCAGTCCCGCCTCAGCTGGAATTGGATGGAGTGAAGTGACAGGGCATCCTCCCAGCAACAAGCTGCTTGAGCGAAATGGTTTGGAACCGAAACCACACTCAAGTCTGAAAAACTACACAATCACAGAAAATGCACAAGAAAAACCTGAGGTGCCTGACGGATTATTAACATATCTCTAAAGAGCCTTTCCAAACCAAAAGGCACTGGAACCGTCTTTGGGCTACTGTTAACCATTTTATCAGCACCTATAAAGCTGGTAGCAGAGCTATATTTATAGCGTGTAAACTGAAAGAAACAGGAATATCTTCTTGCCTATCTTTTCGTCAAACAGCCACTCCACTTGGTTTGTATAATTTAATCAACGAAGCCACAACTGACAGCTCCCGGAGGCTTTGTTTTGCAAAACACTGTCTTGCGGATTCAGAATTTATCTCAGATTCACGCACAGTAGTAAGTAATCATTATCAATGAGTCATATACCCAAAAAGTAAAACTAACAAGACTTGTTTGGTGAAATTATCCCAAAAGGAAACATCTGCACAGTACTAGTACTGGCAGGAGAGAAATGCAATGAATCTCCTTGTTGCGAAAGTGCTAAAAATATTAAAGTGAAAATGCCAAAAGAATTGCAGCACCAGAACTCAATGCAACACTTTCTAAAAGACCTACCTTATCTTATGGAGAAACTACACAACATCTGAGCAATTCAGTTGCAACTATAGTCGAGAAAAAGTTTGGAATTATCTGGATTTCTGCATGAATGGCTCCTAAAATGTGATCTGATCTTCATCCAAGTAGAATCATCAGTGGTTCTCAAACTCTTTGGACCAAGTACCATCCCTGATCAAACCAAAGCATCCAAGTACCACCAACATAGAAACCCCAGAAAATCTCAATGACCAACATGAGCACGCACACACACTCACAATAACAAGAGCACTGAGCACTTGGGCCGTACCGCCTTGTAGCCGTTTTCGGACGCTTGCCAACACTAGCAGTGCTGTCTGTCGGGCTCAGCAGCAGAGCCAGTGTTGGTGGCCGATGTGTAATCCTCCTCGCTCTCAACAGGTGTGCGGGATCTATCGGAGCTGGAGACAGTACTCTTGGTGTCTACTCCTTTCAGCCATGACATGGTACTTGATAACTGTGACATGTTCACTTTCGATCATTTGTTCTGTTGGCGAATGTGTGGCTAAGCTGTCTCTGAAAGCTCGAGAAGACTATGACCACTCAAGTATGAGCGCGCACTGTATCAACGTAGCTAAGTAAATAGGCTGTATTTGACAGAAACTAATTTTATTACAACAGAAAATATGAAAACCCATCTCAAGCTTTCTGAAGGCGATTAAGTAAATTACAGATGAAAAATGTACATAATTTTTAATTCCCAATTTTTCAGTGCACACAACAAATTTCCAGGGTCATCAGCCGTACCACCTGGGGGCGCTCCACAGAACCACAGTTTGAGAACCACAGATCCAAGTACTAATAATAAAGACTTATTTAACAAACACACAACCGTTTACATTGTCTTATCTTTATTGAACAAATGTTTTAAACAATCAAGATCATTGATGGAAAACGTATGTGAACCTCTAGGATATTGACATCTTGAAAAGAGATTGGAGTCAGGTATTCCAATCAATGAGTCAGCTGTTCCAATCAATTTAGGTGTGGGCTTGATCTGCCCTGCCGTATCAAACAATCACACAGTTTTGGTTACCTGCTCTTCATAACAGAATTGCAATATGGCCTGATCAAAAGAGATTTCAGAGGACCTCAGAAGAGAGTTTTTGAAGCTCATAAGACTGGAAAAGGTTACAAAAGGATTTCTAAAGACTTGGGCCTCCGTCAGTCCACAGTCAGGCAGGGTTTACAAGTGGAAGAAATTCAGCACTGTTGCTACTCTCCCTAGGAGTGGGCGTCCTACACAGATCAGTGCAAGGGCACGCCGCACAATCCTCAAACAGGTGACAAACAACCCCAGGGTGACAGCTAGGGATCTGCAGGCATCTCTTGCACTTGATAACGTCCGTGTTCATGGGTCCACCATGAGATAAACACTGAACAAGAGTGGTGTTCATGGGAGGTTACCACAGAGGAAACCACTGCTCTCCAAAGAAAACATTGCTGCCCCATCTCAAGTTTGCCAAAGACCACCTGGATGTTCCACAGCACTACTGGAACAATGTACTGTGGACAGATGAGACAAAAGTTGAACTTTTTGGTATATGTACACAGCGTCATGTCTGGAGAAAACAAAACACTGCACACCAACACCAAAACCTCATCCCAACTGTGAAGCGTGGTGGAGGGAGTATAGAGGTGTGGGGCTACTTTGCTGCCTCAGGGCCTGGACGGCTTGCAATCACTGAGGGACCAATGACGTTGTATCAGGAAATTCTACTGCACAATGTCAGGGCATCTGTCTGCGATCTACAACTCAAGAGAAGTGGGGTCATGCAACATCGCAATGATCCAAAACACAGGAGTAAATCAACAACAGAGTGGCTCCAGCAGAAGACGTTCCGGATTTCAGAAAGGCCAAGTCAGAGTCCTGACCTCAATCTCACCGAGCTGCTGTGGCGTGATCTGAAGCAGGCCATTCAAGCACTCATCGCAGAAATATACATGAAGTGGAACAGTTTTGTGTAGAGGAAGGAGCCAAAATACCTCCCAACCGCTGTGCAGGTCTGATCAGCAGCTACAGAAAGTGTTGGGTTGAGGTTACTGCCAATAAAGAAGGTTCCCCTCATTACTTAATATAAGGGTTCACATACTTTTTCCATCAATGACCTTGATTGTTTAAACCATTTGTTCAATAAAGAGATGGCAATGTAAAATGTGTGTTTGTCAAATAAGACTGGCTTTATTCATTCTGACTGAGATGTAGATTAGATCACATTTTAGTAGCCATTCATGCAGAAATCCACATAAGTCCTAAGGGTTTTTTATACCGTAGGGGGATGCCTATTTTATTCTGAAGAAAAAAACCACTTCTATCCATCATCCAGAAAGCTGGATTTGTTCAGTTTGTGTGAAGGAGAAAAAATGCCGAAGCAGCGGCAGATGTTCTCAAGACGCATGAATATATGTGCAATTCCAATCAAGCTTATACTGGGGTTCAACAAGGTCAAATGTCTAAATTCCTCAGTGCAGCAGAAACGTTAACAGTTTCAACGGTAATGGAAGAGCTTCCAATACAGCGTTAAAAGGGAGGAAGCAGACTCACCTCCCTTATAACTCCTTCCACTGTGCTGTCTAACTTTGTTCAGGTCTGTGCTGTACACGTTCGCCCCTGACTGCACACTAGCGCATGTTACGCCACTAGCCTTCCTTGAGAGCACTGCAGGGTAAACCACGGAGAGCTAAAAAAGGCCAGGGACACTCGGGCCGTTTCCTCATTCCAGCCTCCACAGAGGCTATAAATAACACGGTGGCATTTCAGGAACCGGAGGAGCCAATGAGCAGGGGAGGCCGGCTGCAGACCGGCACAGTCGCGGATCGCTCGGGCCGCAGCGCGCCGCTGACAAACACTCATGACAAACAGGAGGCCTGCACTGCACTGCACAACAGGCAAGCAGAAAAACACTCGGGTTTTGCACCCTACTTTAAAGGCCCTTTTCTGGATCTGAAGACACACTGGAAAGGGAGAAGACCAGCTGGTGAGGCGCCAGTGCCCAGCCTGGCGACGGGTCCGGGCGACCCCCTGTGCAACCCCCCTGGTGCTCACAGAAACGCCGAGCAGAGCCTGGCGGGCTGGGTATGGGATTAACGCTCACCCTTTCGCTGCCTGGAGGCTGCACTCCTGAAATCAAAGACTGGATTTCCTTAGACGGCTCTTCTACTACACCCATCCCCTGAGGGTGGCTGGACTGGGCCCCTCCTGTATGCAAAGTGCTTTAGAGTCCTCTGCAAAATACGCTATAAAATAACACACTGTCAGTCCGAGAACCACCTGCTGCTCGCCACTAGCCGAGAGTGCGAGGAGACCAGAGAGAAGAGAAAAAAAACACACAAATCTAAAGCAAACTCTTTTCTCGCCCCCCCCGAAGCGTGCTCGGGGCGAGCCATGTGCCCCCTCGCGTGGAAGCGTCTGTCGCGACCCGCCCTCTTGCACACGGAGGGGGTGGGGTGGGTGGGGGTGTGCCTTTCAGAGCCGCCCGCGATGATTGAAGGGCGCACCCGGCGGAGCGGAGAGGGGCGGCCCGATCGCGCCCGCAGGACTGCCCCCGGGAGCGGGGAGGTAAGTCACCGCGGCCGCAAGCACCGCTCCGCCACGGGGGGGGACCGGCCCGGCCGCATTCCCGGGCCCCCTCCGACAAGGGATGGATCCGCCGACAGTCGGCTCCACGCAGCCCGTGGGGGGAGCCACGTTTTGCCCGTGCGCCCAATTGCATTCACTCGACTGCCCCCACGTGTGAAGCCCGTGCGTTCTCTCCCCCCACCCCTGACTCGCCACTTTTCTTTCCCGTGGCACCGCCGTCTGTCACAGCCCAGACCACTCTCTCGCCCCCCCCCTCCAACTGGGGGAGGGAGGGAGGGAGCAGCGGGCCTGCAGTGGCAGTAAATCACCAGCGGGCACCGGTGACTGCGCACAGAAAACCCACCCGCGATCCCCCACGCATGCACGCACACGCATCGCTGGAGACCCCTTCGCCGGCTCTCTCCCTGCGAGGGAGCCCGGCTCCACCCCCCCGGGGAAGGCGAGCCCGGGCGACCCGCAGCGGCCGAGCCCCGCAGGACGAGCGGGGGACAGGCTCGGGCCGTGGGAGGGAGGGAGGGGGGGGGTGAGAAGGGGGGGATGGTCTCGGTGCAGAGCCAGCAGCACACGGCTCTCCCCTGGCCGCCGCCGCCGCGACGCGGACACGACACCCGACCCACGACACGCACCCGGGGCAGCGAGGCTTCAAGGCGCCACGCAAAACGGATCGCCCGCTGTCTCCCCACGTACATACGCACACGCACCACAAATGAAAAAAAAAAGACTCAATCGGCCCCGTTTTTTTTTTTTTAGGGGATCGCGTTTTGCAAGGAGGGGGGGTGCGATTGAAAAGAGCACAACCGAGCGCAGGGCAAAGGCTGCCGTGAGAGGGACCGCCCGGCCGCACCAACCTGGGGATGTTGCGGAGGTCTCCTGTCCCCTTGCTCTCGTCCTGCCGGGAGAACCACACCTCCAGCAGCTTCTCCGTCCCCTCGAAGAAGTGTGCACCGTTCTCTTCCATCGTGAGACAACAGACACCGACAACAGAAATTACAAATTACACGTCGGGGTGGTGGTGGTGGGGGGGGGTTGGTGGCTGTAATTTTTTCAGATTTGCGTTAATCCTGGCGAGGTTCGGATAACTTAATGAAATGGTTAATTCAGTCTTGTGTTGTTTTTTTTAAGCAGTCCAGGTGTCGTTTGCTTGATTTTTTGCCGTCTTCCCTTTGACAGAGAATACCGTTTAGCGAGCGCTAGCTAATGTCGCCGGCCATACTGTGTAGAGCCGCGAGCGCCGCTCGCCCGGTGCTTTTATTACCTCCCTGGCGACGTCACAAGCGGGCCGCGGCCAATCGGGCGCCTCCGAGCCCATGGGCGGCGCGCCCATTGGCTGCCCGCCGTGCCAATAACTCCCGACAGGGGCCCGCCTCGGCCTACAGTTACCTTGCACACGCGAGGGGCAGCTGAGAGGTTCCTAATACCCCGCCTGTTTGAGTGTGTGCTTTCAGGAGGAAGCCTGGCCTATTGCGAGCGTTTGACACAAAAGTGACATAAGGTTTGTGCAAGATCTGCTTATTAGGTCTTGGGGCGAATGCAACGCAATCGGGTGGGATACGCATTGCACCCTAGCCCATTAAAGTAACCTTTTCCTCGGTAGGTAGGTGCAAAGGTATGTTGGGGTTTTGTTTTCAAATTGTTATTAAGTCTGGCGGGGTTCATCTTCAAGTTGGTCTTCACGCATAAGTCTGCACTCTGTTTTGTTTTGTTCTATAACATCTCATTCGACGTGTGAAACACAGCCTTATTTTTTGTGACCATTAACTTTTCTCTGGAAAACGCCGCTGGAGAGCGTTCGAATTTGCTGGATGGATTGTACTGTAAATCTCCAGTTCGTACATACGAGGAATTGTAAAAACAGCATTTATTTCAGTAGTTCCAGCTACTGGACTCATCACGTGCACCTTTTTAATCACTGTTATGTTATATCCCATATGGTGAGACATTATAAGTTATATGTTAGATATTATACGTTATATGCAAAATTTTGATAAACCACTTTACATAGAAGAGCACAATGACACTCCAGTTACTTTGGAGTTTATAATGCAAATGTTTTGTTGAAAATGAGCGGCCATGAATTGGTGTTATCAGATAATTTTATAAGCCATGGCGTGCTGTTGACACAAAATACGATATACTGCACGTTACTGAGAGATTGAGTTGTTTTCAAACAAAATAGAGTCTGGGAAACGGCGTCAGATGTTTAGAAAACGAGAAAAGCTGTATATAAGTACCACTGAATGACGGTGCATTTGTAGGAATTTAACCTGTACTAAAAAACTCAAGAAAAAAACAGTAACAGAGATGTTCTCCATACACATTAAAACTATAATTTACAATGATTTGCGTCCTGCAGCCAAGTTATTAATTAAATTCATGGACTACTGGAATATACGCGTTGTACGTGTAACGGCTGAATTATAAAACATGACCTTAAGTTTTCAAGCAGTTCTCAGTAAGTTCAAACATCTGCTGTCACTGCTGCTTTCACGAGCCACACGCCGATCGGAACTTCCGCCCCCGGCCCAGACCCCAGTTCGAGAAAACAAACGGCAAAGGATTGAAAACCATAACGACAGTCCGCCGCGCTGCAGCGCGGAAACTCGAGATCGGGGGGGGGTTCAGTTCTGAGTACATGTGAGATCTTTGCATCCATAGGCTTCCCCGCAAGTACACGTGTTTCACCGACAAGATGTTAACGTGCAACGCTCTGGACCAATTAGATGTGCGGTGCCTCTTGGGCAGGTACTACTGTGAGTAATGTTACGACAGACTACCACATGCACAGAATTAAAAGGCAAAGGGTCACCGGTCCCATTCAGAACACACATCTAACGTGAAATGCACACGACTATTATACGCCCGGCTAAGAAACGGGAGCACCGACTTCTTTCTCGTTTTAAAAAAAAAAACCCCACAATTGCGATTTCTGCTCTTGGGGTGACCTCTCCGCAGAAGTAACCAAGTCACGGTGTTTTATAACAAACTGGGGGGGCGGCATCCGCACGCGATTAGATAATCGCGGGGCATTTCTGAGCCTGGGAAAACAGGACGACTTTCACGGTACCGGCCACACAGCGGCACTGACAGAAGACCCACCCCCTTTAAAATACGCGTATGCGCCCATTCCAAGCCTTCCACTAGACGCGGAAGACGGACATATGTAGAGATAAACATTGAAACATTAGCCGCCGATCCCGTGCTGCTGCATTTTTGTGGGGGGTTGTAAACCCCGACTGCGCAGGCGCGCCGCCCGCAAGGGGTTGGCGGGGAGTGTAGTTTCGGGACGGCGGGGGCTCCGTTAGGGTAGTCCGCGGGCCCCGTGGGTAAGAAAACCACAACCCCCAGAATGCAAAGCGCGCTCACCCAGAAACGTCAACGAGCCAGTGAACATTAAGCGGAGCAGACCAAAATCCCAAACAAGGAAATGATGGGGGAATTGAACGCTTAGATTATTTAATTAACACATTTAATAATTAATATTTTATTTTTGTTGTAAATTAAGAAGTATTTATGGGTTAAAATGGATTACGATTTCAAAACGAAGCTTGCAGCCGAGAGGGAGAGAGTGGAGGATCTGTTTGAATATGAAGGTTGCAAAGTGGGTCGAGGCACCTACGGGCATGTTTATAAAGCCAAGCGCAAAGATGGGTAAGAAAAACAACTGACATTATGATGATTAAAACCCGGTCATTTTACATGCATGTGCTGCCCCGACTGGTGCTGAAACAGTCACAGGCTTCTCCGACTGGATCTGGGGGTTATGCATTCCGGCTCGGACCCTGTCCCGGTAACATGCACACCAAATGTTGATTTTCTGTCACTCCATGTCAAGGGGATTGCACGTAGCTTAATATGGACATACAACACACTTTAATTATCCCCTACAGAACAACAATTCACCTTGGTCTGAGCAGGTCCTCGGGGGCGTCTTGAAAACTTGGAAATCTGGTCAGGCGATCAGTGAATTGTAGCGTTAGGCTGAGGCGTGCACGGCGCTGGAAATGTCACGCTGTTTTTTTCTGGAAACAGACGTACTAGAAAGTTATGGTCTTCTTCAACCCCCCCTCCCCCCCACGTTTTCAAGTGTGCATCCTCTAAGCTAGCGGTTGATGTTGAAAGCACTGTCGTCAGGCAATTATCTGCGCGACGGGCACATAACTTGCATATTTCAATGCGGTCCCACGAGTCGATAGGTGCACACATGTGAAATAAACGTGATCAAGGAGCCTCACTGGGAAGTTGGTTTGGCACAGCGATGTTGCTCGTCAGCCCAGGGTAAATGTTACATTTCAGTGGTTGGCTCAGTCGGTCTGAGATTCACGTGGAAATCGAGGTCAACCGGGTACTTGAGTTACTGTGTTGCAGCGGGAGCACGATTGGGTTTCACGGATGCACAGTCATCAAGTACCGGTTCTGCTTGGAATAACCGAAATAAACATTTGCTGGCCGAAAAAAAATAACCGGATAAATAACACCGTGAAGTCTCGGGCGGCAGAAAGTGAGCAAAACTCTGCCGCCGCCGCACCGTGACACAGGCAGTGCACAGTTTCTGAATCCGGGTTTGCCGCTTCGACACTTTGTCTGCAGGCCGCCCGGAAAGAGACGGTACGAAACACTGTTTGGGTCAAGTGCATAACTGGGGCGTTACACGTCGAGGCCCCGGTTAGCTCCTGAACTATTCCCGTCTCTTTCGGGGTTCTTTTCTTATTTTGTTTCAACCGATACCTCGATTGTTGAAGCTTTCGTCGGCCTGTTTGCCTTGTACACGGCACCGTGTCGGAAGCTATTTTTCAGAATTCCTCTCGTTTTAAGGTTTATTGTCTTAAGAGAAAATGTAAAGAGTGTCCGTACAGATCAGACCCCCTACTGCTTCACTGCTGTCCCCTCCTAGTGGTTTGCCCTCCTCCCTGGACTCTTCACGACCTCTTTTGAATCAGTTGTTTACTCAATGGGTCTTTCCTGTCAGTGAGGTCTAGATCACCCCAAGACCATGCAGGCCCAGTTAGTGACTAACTTCTCAGTCCAAGTTCACACTAGGAGGTGTCAAAAGGCACGTCTGTTTAGGTCAAATGAGCTTAAATGACTGTTGCCCTTAACAAAAGGCTGTCGCACCTGTATGTGTGTGCCTAATATTTTCTTCTGGTGTCTGAAACGTTTATTATGTTTACAGTTAGTTTCTTTTTCTTCCCAACCAGCTTGCTCAGGGAAGAGAACGGTTTGAATTCATGATGTGGTTTAAATTTCTCCTTATTTTCCAAGCACTCTTTAGATGCATACGCCAGTGCAGAAGCCTGAAGTGTACCTGTTGGTGTATAGTGTCGGTCAGTACCAAGCCGGAGGCATCGCTGAGTGCTGTTTAAGCGTCTGTTGAGGAGGTGTGAGTTAGGCTCCTGTAAGGAAGCACAGGGGAGTCTAAAACCAGGTAGCAGGGTTGAGAGCAAAATGCAGTGAGAGTTGAACCGGAGAGCAAACTGACCTTGCTGTGTTTTTCTCCCAGGATTCCTATTTTATAGAGGTAGATACTTGCTGCAGCTTTGTTTAAGACTGGTTGCATGTCTTACATAGGTATTAGTGTCAACCGGTACCTGTACTGATACAATGGGATTCTTACTTACAGAAAGTCTCTCGATTGTTAAAACAAGTGTAAAAACACAAAGTGCAGCCAGTGCATCAAGACAATAGAGAAACAAACAGCAGACAATGGACAAGTAAACAGTTCGAATGTAAACAATGCAGACATGAATCCATGATGGTTAAAATGCTGTAGGGTTTTAGAGTTGAATAAAGCTCCTTTTTCTTTTTTTTCATATTTGTAGTAAAAAAAAAAATCCTGAAGTTAGCATATATCTGAATGTAAATTGTACATTGCTATGATTGAGAACGGGTAAAATATTTGACAGCAGGAACTGTAACTAAGGACGATTCCTGTACTAAGTGAAGATGATTGGCGTCCCTTCCAGGGTGTATCCTGCCTTATGCCTGTTGCTTGCTGGGATAGACTCAACAGGCAGATAGCAGCCTGGGAATTGAACCCAGGTCCCCAGTGCTGCAAATCAGCAATTTTAACCACTGCACTACTGTGCTGCCCCAAGACGGGTTCAGCATCTATTAATTACTCGTAATGTTTATCCACATTTTCAAATGGGCTGAGTGATGTCTTCTGATCTGTCACCTCTCTTCATCCTGAGCAATGTAATGTGAAACTAGCGCCAAACACGATTCTGTCGCAGCTACGGTATGTAATCACCAGCCTGGCGATTACAGTGATCTGTCGTGAGCAAGCTTTCAGTGGAGGGCTGGGCTTGAAGCAAGCAATGCAGGAAATGTAAACATGTTAAGTTGTGACAGCTGAAATAGCACAGCAGGCACCTAACAGGAGTGGAGAAGGTGAAAGCAATTAAGGGGAGTTGCGGTTTTGCATTTGCTAATGCCGACAGACCTGAGCCTTGTCTCAGAATTTAGGCAGTTTTCGAAACAAAACAAAACATTTAGCCATGGTCAAGACTGGTCAAGCCATCACAGTTTGTCGTGGGACACCGATTGAATGTGAACACGTACTACAGTAGTAATCTGTTATTCCAAGCATGATGACATTTAACTAAAGAGCTAGTTTGAGTTGGAAATGTGTAAATGATCTGAAATAAAGCACCAGCAATGTTTTTGTTTGCTCCACCTTTAAAAGGACAATTCTAATATTTTATCATCTCTTCAGTGGGTGGATTTTATCATGCCAGCTTTATTATTATAAATAAATAATCAATGACTTTAGGGCATCTGCACCTCATAATTGCTATCTAATTGTTTTAGGACACTTATGGAATGTTCCTGCACAGATCTATAAGTAACTAATAATAATAATTCCTTACACTTATATAGCACTTTTCTGGACACTCAACTCAAAGCCCTTTTGCAGGTAATGGGGACTCCCCTCCACCACCACCAGTGTGCAGCCCCACCTGGTTGATGCTCACTGCAGCATCGCCTGGGCAAAGTGGCTATTGGTATTCAGCTTTTAGTTGTTGCTTTGAAAATATTTTTGGCGGCACTTCAGCATTAGATAGGCACATAAAGGCGTAAAATAATTTTCCTGGTCATGAGCACAAAGCTCTTCTGGCAGTGATGCGCAGAAATGACGTGAGGCAAAAATAACTCCTTGTGTTGTGGCAGTGTGTGGCTGTATTTCACCTGAGATAGCGCCTGCTGGCAGGCCCAGGGCTGAGGTGGCACTGCCTTTTACACAGCAGTGTGACCAGACTGACCCCTGACCCCTGACCCCACGCCTACTGCTACTCCCACTCCCAGGTGACAGCTGGTGGCGCCGGAGAAGGGGCCGCGTGTGGTAAGCCAGGGTCCAATCTCAGAGGCCTTTTTGGGGAATTTTAAAAGATCTACACACGTTTCTAAAAAAAAAGTGTGCTTTTTGGACTCTGGACCAAAAGGCTGATTTTCAGGAATTCAGAGTTTGTTAGTTCAGTTAGTTACCCTTGTTTTGGACATGTGGAGGCCATCTTGTCCAAGGCGCCATCAGTGGGGAAAAGGTTACATGGAGCGATTGGGTAATTTATCTGTCGCTGTGTCAGATTCAAATGGTTTAATTTTCCTAACGAGCAGGGGGGCACAACTCTAGTCCCAGTTCCTGGTTTCTCCTCCCACCTGAGCCCTTTATTACCTAAATGAAGTAGTTATTTGCTCCATCTCAGTCGAACGTGGAGAAGTCCTTTCAAGTCCTTAAGAAGCTCGAGATTGAAGGGGACCTCTCTGATGGAGAGCAGCCCCTGAAGATCAGATCTGGGCTCCCCTGCGACTCCAGGTTACAGAACCCTGACATATGTTACTCACCTACGTGTTTGATCCTGGTGGCTGTTACACACCCGAATGTAGAGGAACAGGGTGTCCACTGGTCCTGCTGTGCCCTCTTGTCTCTGTGGTGTAAGTAGCAGTCCTGTGGATGAGTGGCTGTATCAGGCCTTGAGTGATGCACATGGCCAAGCTGCTGTCTGTCTGCTCTGTACACGAAGCCTCCTCGTGCTGTCTAGGAGTGAGGACAGCGGGCTTTAGTGTGGAAGGGCTCGGCGTGTCCCGCGGACGTGTTTAGAAAGCAGCCGCTGCCGTGCTAAATGGTTTTGTTTGTTTCTTCCCTTGTAGGAAGGATGAAAAAGAATATGCACTGAAACAAATTGAAGGTACTGGAATATCAATGTCCGCCTGCCGGGAGATCGCGGTAAGTGGATTCCCTCTTTAGGCTATCAGGAGCCCGATATGGGATTCCGCCTGTTGCTGGAGGACACTTGTGTGGCAGAAGGTTGTTGTGTGACCTCTGATGAGGTCTCTCGCAGTCATTCTTCACTTACCGGTTTCATCTTTGTCATTTCTGGGAAATGTGGAAGCAGATGGGATTATCTCCTTGTATTCAGGTTATTATGGTACATAAGTATTGTCAGCGCCATTTGTCTGGTGGTGGTGTTCACTTTGTTGAAGAAGGGCTCGCTGAGACAGAGTGGTCTACTGTAAGGCGAGATGACCTGAACACCAGCGTGATGTCTCTCCTCTTGCTGCTCATACGCACAGGGGCCGGTCTGCCCTGCTGGGACACCTAAGACCCTGCAGGACGTACTGTAAGCGGGAGCTGGGAATGTGGCTGTGTGGGTGGAGGGAGTCTCTATTTGACGTGCGCACACGGGCTGCCCCCACATGTCTGATTGTGGGCTAGCTTTGTTTGGACATAAATGAGGAAGAAGGTGTTTTACTGCAGACTTGTTTGTAATCATCGGGAACCGAAATCATCGAATGTGGCTTACAGGCCGCGCATGTGTGGTGGGCTTACAGCCCTCTCAGGTATTTATCTTAGGAGCTGCACCAGCTCCCGCAGACACAGGGCTGGTAATTCTCATCCAGGCGCTAGTTTTTACACCCAAATCAATCTCCCTGTCTGTAGTAGTGAAGCTATCGTGTGCTCAGTAGTTCTACAAGGCTCTTTCCTGCTTATCTCATTTCTGGAGACCTTGCTAAATACTCCAGGGGAAAGGGATGTTGTGGCCGATGGACCTGAGGGAACTGTTTCTTAGGTAAAGTGAAATGTGTGATCTGCTCGAATGACACTGACGCTGCATGGCTCTTCATTGCAAAACACAAAACAATACTGTCGGAAAACATGTTATCTTTTGTGTCTCTGAATGATCTAGCATACTGCTGATTGCAGCAGTACTGAGTTTTTGGATCCTCACGAGAAGCTTTGTTCTGCTTATAGGTTAAAAGCAAGCATTCCTAGGGGGATAGATACTGAATGTTATCTGTGTGAAAGAGTTTGTTTATGAAAGGCTGATATAGTGTGCAGTTTCTTCATTGTGTTATTTACAGACGTGAAAGGTTTTCAACACGGTGTGTTCGGAAGCAGTTCAGTGTTTCTAAAGAACAAGGTGCCTTTACCCTGGGCGCACTGTTGTGTGTTGTCTGTTGCTGTTCCTGTCACTAGTGATCTTTCGGAGTGAGGCTCTGCTGGCAGCACTCGCCTGAGCCTGCCCCAAGCACCTGTTAGTTTCAGCTTGGTACAAGGGTAATTACATGAAAAGCTTATGTTGATGTTTATGCACTTTTAGGTTTCATTGGCTTCGAGCTGACAGTGAAACCTGAAGCCTGCAAACACAATTCAAGTTGGATGTGCCGCAAAAGCACGCTTCCGCAGGCAGATCAGTCAGTTTTAGAACTCCTGTCTCCGCAGGTACTAAAGTTATTTACACAGACAGAGCTACAGATTATTTCCTATTCCGTGCCGTCGTTGTTTGTGTAAAATGTGGGAAAGGATAAAATCAGAGTCGAATTTGAGGCAGTGCACCCTGCTTTGACAGCAGCCCAGGCTGGGCGGTGATGTATGTCAGCAGGAGAGACCTGCTGCAGCCCCGTCTGTCTCCCGATGCGCACCAGGGCGGGAGAGAGGGTTCCAGGAAAAGCTTTGAAAAACAGGCAGCTGGCTATTTTTAGAACAAGCCTGTCAGCAGATTCACTCATTCAGTGCTTCCATGCCTTTAGCTCTTTGACAGATAAAGTGTGTTTGCTCTGGAAGAGGGGTTCTGTCGAGCACTGCAGCTAATTAAAGTGTCTCGTTACCTGGCTTCGATTTCTACCAGGCAAGAGGACAAAACAGGCCTTCTGAGTCAACAAGAACAATTTGCGGTGTTTTACGGCAGCTCTGCTGTTGAATCACGAGGTCTTGTGTGTTATCCTTTGTCATGCTGCCAAGAAACAGGTGCACTTAAAACAGTCCTCTGTGCATCTGTGGTGAGTCAATTAGCCTGGGAAAAACAGGGTTCTGTCCCGAGTACATGATCACCAGCTGGTGTGGTATCAGCCGTAATCACAGCAAGAGTGTACTCCTTTGTCATTTTGACTTGCGCTTTTTTGCAGGACACCCATGCAGACCTGTCCATGTGAATCGGATTCTCTCCATCTCTCCGCAGAAGCTGAAACCTTCCAGAACCTTCATTCGGCTTAGTACATCTTTACCTGTTCTTTCTCTCCCGAGGTCTCAGGGCGTGGGCTCGCACTGCGTGTTTACAGGATGCGTGACTCCTTCTTGCGTGTAACCGTCTCCTTTCTGACGTGATCAGCTGAGGTGGCGGTCTCCTCCAGTCTTCCAGTCACTCAGTTCTCCAGGCAGACATTTACAGGGGCAGTGTTTTCACTGACCCCGATCTGGGATGTGGCTTAGAAAACAATGAAGCAGACTGCAGATATTTCTCTGCATTCTTGAGTTTGTGATATTTGTATAAGCAGGGATACACAACTCTAGTCCTGGAATTTCTGGATTTCCCTCCACCTGAGCCCGGAATTACCTTTCTGAACTCCCTGTTTGCTTAATTAAACAATTTATACCCTTTCCTTGTTCCTAAGATGGGGATTTAGAGATCTTTAAAACCTCCCGAGCAGTGTTTCTTGGGGATCTCAGCTGGGAACTCCTCTCATAGGAGATATGAGGTACTTTCTCTCAGCAGTTTAGACACACTTGGATTGTGTGTTAAGTTAGGAGATAATACGACTTAGTCTTCCTGCTGTATTGTAAAAACATTTAGCCTAAAAATTTTAAAGATTCTTATACCACCACACACACACTAATTGTGTCCTTTTCAAAAGAAGAGTAAGAGTTTCAAATGTCTCCATTCATGTGCTTTCTAGAGGTTCGATGAGCCACTTCCAAATGAACAGCAATACACAAAACCAGAAGACACATTCAAGTAGAAACTGCAGGGAGTGCGTTTCAAGCTGCGGTATCAGTGAGACGCTGTGGAAGTCTAAGGCAGACTACTCAGCTGTTGTACTGAAGCAGACACTCTGGCTTCAAGAAACGACCTCAGGAGATCAGTCACCCAAATGAACAAACTTTCTTAGGCCCAATCTTCATGCTTGCTTGCTTGGCTTGTTTTAGCTAAGCGCTTTGCTTGGTTTTCAGTGATTTAAGTGCCAAAGCCAGTGAAGGATACCTGCCTGCTGTTTAAAGATATTCCTGTCTTTGTTTTTTTTCCCCCTGTGTTTTTGTTTATTCATTGTACCTCATGCTAACGTCACATCTGACCTTTGGACTAGTTTGTCCCTGGCAACGCCGACGTTTCTGCAGAGGCATACAATTATCCAGAGGGAGCAGAGTCCCTTCGCAAGTGCAGCATCTCCCACATGTGAACTGGAATGAGATGGTTAACTATGCTGTTCCTATATAGAGAGGTTTACCTCAGTGCTGGTGTTTAAGTTCAGTACTACTCTCTCGGGGACAAAGCTTGCGTTTGCTGCTGAAATTGTTTGATCAACATCTTTGAGTGATTCAGGTGCTTCTACCTCAAAGTGAAGAGCTTGAAAAAAGCAGCAAACTGCATTACAGTACGTAATCACTCGGGAAGTGTTTGCAGGCTTTTTAGAGATCTTAAACTGCATTTTTGTTTCTGTCCACAGCCCATCTGCCCACTCATAACAAAAGAGCGTGAGCAACTGAAATGTTAAGAGGAGGAGAGGGGGGACAGGGATTTCACTACGTGTGTGTTGGCAGGCACAAAAACATGGGGTCTGCAGCAAGGAAGAGAAGACTTTGCCAACTTTGAGATGAATAGTAATCTTTATTCTTTGGAGCAAAGCACTTTGCTCTAAATAAAATGTACATGAACAGAAATAAAAATGACAAACCTAAAAGAGAGCAATGTAGGTGGAGAAGGTAATCTCCGTTAAATAGAGCTGAGGATCGGGTCAGAAACAAACTAAAGTCATCCTGTAAAGCGCTTTGAGAAGCCACCTTTAAAGGCGCTATATAAAATAAAGTTTATTATTATTATTAAAGGCAGGAAGTCAACTTGGTTGCAGTTTTAGTTCTGCCCCCTCGTGACAGCTGACGGTGTTCTGTCTGAGCACACAATGGCGTGCCCTCTGTGGCAGTGCGCTGGAGGAGCACTGGTAAAAAGTCAACGCGCTGGTGTGAGGTTAGCGGAGACCAAGAATAACTCAAAAAGAGGTGAAAAATAAACAGAAAAGCCCAAAGAAAGTGTAGCACTGTGCCTCCTGGCTTCCAGGCGGGGCGTACCCTATTTATCGGGGTCCAGTCTGGTAGAGCAGGGCGCGTGAGGCCACAAATGGCGGTGCAAAGCGGTGGCTCTGTGGCTCAGGATCTGCGCCTGTGGCTGGAAGGTTGCCGGTTCGAATCCCGCGGCCGGCAGAGGCATCCTACTCCGTTGGGCCCCTTCACCCCAGCTGCTCCATCAGTGAATTTCAGGATTTAAGATGACCATATGTCCATGAAATAGCCGCTCAAGGCGGAGGTGAGAAAGACCAGGTGTTTAAAACTGCAGGTGCTCATCAGTCTTTCAGAGAGGCTGCAGGGAGAGCCATGCAGCCCCAGTCGTGCTCCGAGAGTCCTTTTCTAGCGCTCTTCTAGGGTAGATTGACGAAAACAGACACGCCGGACCCCTAGACAGCACGGTGCTTTGTGAGCCAGGGTATTTTCCCCATCTTCTGCATTCCTGGCCACTGCGTTCTAATAAGAGCGTCTCCTGGCTGGGTCCTTGGGAACAGCAGTGAGTTGTGTAAGCAGTTGGCACAACGTCAGTAGCGTTTTAGGATTATATTTCGATAAATGGGTCCGCAGCTCCGAAATAAACTGGCTGGGTTATGTACAGTACTATACAGCCGCCACATGCGGACAGCTGCCGGGCCTCTGGGATTTGAGCTGTGCTGCTCGCATGGCTGCTG